CTTCCCTTTTCTTTTTCTTTTTCTTTTTCTTTTCCTTTCCTTTTCTTTCCTTTCCTTTCCTATCCTATCCTATCCTACCCTACCCTACCCTACCCTACCCTACCCTACCCTACCCTTTCCTTTCCTATCCTTTCATTTCCTTTCCTTCCCTCTCCTTTCCCTCCTTTCCTCTCCTTTCTTTCTCTCCCCTTTCCTCCCCTCCCCTGAGCTCCCTCCCATTCCCTTCTTTTCTTTCTCTCTCTCTAGAGCTCTGTCTCTCTGTCTCTGTTTCTCATCTCTCGTCTCTCTGTCTCTCCATCTCTCTGTCTCTGTCTCTCTCTTCCTCCCTCCCTCCCCCATTTAACTTGAGATACATTGTTCTTAGACCATTTTCATCCTTACCAAAAAGCAGAGCAGAACGCAGAAGAATGCCCTGCCCTCCTCATCCACAGGTCATTCTCTCCTCATTAACATAGTGTTAGGGTGTGTGTGTGTGTGTGTGCGCGCGCGCACGCGCTTTACTTGTGCGGCAGCTGATGTATCAGGTTTAATCACAATAAACTAAGCTCTACAGCTTATGGGTTTTGACAAATAAAACATTTTATGTATTGCACCCTCCTTTATACCATCATACAAACTAGTTTCACTCCCCTAAATAATCCTGTGGCCCATCTGGTCCCCCCCCCACACACTCCTTGTATCCTTGGCATTCACTGACCTGCACTGATCTTTTTACTGTCTCCGAGCTTTGTTTTTTCAGCGCGTCCTATAGCTAGGATTGTATGATATGCGCCTCTCCAAATTTGGCTTCTTCCAATAGAAGTATACATTTGGGTTTCCTTCACACCTTCTGGCTTAAAAGCTCATTTATTTTTATCACTGAATAATATTTCATTATCTGATATAGTTTATTTATTTATCTACTGATTCCAGTTATTAATATGGTCGTCACAAACATCTGCGTGTAGGTTCTAATGTGAACACAAGTTTTCTATGTATTTGGATAAACAAGAGCACAGTACTGGAGTCGATGTTAAGACGGTGTTCAGATTTGAACGAAATTACCAAAATATCTTTCAACATGCCTGACTACTTTACATTCCGCTGGCAGTGGGCCAGGGTTCCCACCACTTCACTCCCACTTCCCAGCTGGGCATGGTCAATGGCTTAGATTTTAGCAGGCTAATAATTGCGTCTTGGCATCTCACGGTTGATTCAGTCGGATCTTAGTGACCTATGATGTTAAGCATCTCAGTACAGACTTCCTTCCCACTTGTGTATCATCCTGGTGATGAACCTCTTCCTGCTTTTTGTCTACTTTCCATTAAGCTTTTGTTTTATCATTGCTGAATTTACAAGTTTTTGTGTGTCTTTGGGTACACGCCTTTTATCAATTTTGTGTTTGTGATATAGTCTCACGGTCTTTGCCATGTATTTCCTTCAGTGTATGTATATGCTGCATCTAGGGGAAGCGATTTTAGAATTGATCCTGTTTGTTGTTTTGTGAGGTCTCTGGACCTGTAGTTCATGGTTTTACTTAATATTTATCCATCACTGCTTCACATAGGTCTTCTTTCCTGCTTCACCTATTTCCTTTTCCTGGAATTTGTATTGTTGACATTTATGAACTAGTAATTTTTCCATAATGCTTGAATATTTTATTCTGGTCGGTCTTATTTCCATTTTTGTCTTTGCTTTTTGTGTTTGAAGTTTCCATGGACACATCTTCACGCTCACTCTTTTCGGGCTCTGTCCAGTCTACAGAGAAATGTACTGAAGATAGCATTTTTGTTACAGGAGCTTTAATGTCCAGCATTTTCTTCCCACTCTCAAAGTTCCTGTCACTCTGCTCACATTAGCTATGTTTTTACAGGCTGCCCTTTTTAAATTATAGTCCTTAGTTTATTAATTACAATTGTTTCAAATCCTCAAATTGATAGTTCTAAAATAATCTCTACTATATCTCCATCTAGTTCTGATATTTGCTCTGCTTCTGCCTTTCAGTATGTTTTGTGGTGTGTGTGTGTGTGTGTGTGTGTGTACACGCACACGCATGTTTGCATGTGCAAAGCTGGAGAAGTTGCACTGGGTGGAAGAAACTGAGGTGAATAAATTTTGTTTGAAGGTTTTATGATTATGTGGTGCAGATTTATGCTGTTTATTCTTCATTATGGCTGTGGTAACAGATCCTAAAATTTTCTCTAGTCCACCTGCTGCATTTGTCCCCAGTACTGTCACTAGGTATCCACAGATATTTAGATCTGAGCCCTGCAGTTATGGTAGCTGTAGTTTCTGTTACTACGCATCTCCCCACGTGAAGGCAAGGCTGAAGGAGAGTCCTACGATGAGGTCCCAGTCTCAGCTGTGTCCTTGTACAGTGACCTTGGCACATGCGCTTAGTTTTTCTCTCCTTCCCTGCATAAGTAAGACCTGGAGGCTTCCTGGGCCTGGGGCATGGCAAGTTGGTTGGTATCTGAGAAAAGAGAGCTGTCTGTGTGTACATTTTAATAAGGAGGACAGAGAGCATTAAGTGTATTTCAAAAAGTCTACTTTTTCTTGCTCTCATTATAAACATAAGGGATTTTTTTTTCTAAAATTCACCCTGAGGACCTGTCTGATTCTCAAAGATCTTTAACTGCTTATCCATAAATTCCCTCAAAGACTGTCCCTATTGCACAGTATTTAAGTATCCATATAGATCCTTGTGACAATTAATCTTGTCAACTTACTGAATTAAGAGGGTCCTGAAGAAGTCACAAGGTTTTGGGCTCACTAACCTCATAAATATGTCTGTCCATGGGTGAATCCATACCTGAAAGGGCTTGGAGGATGCAGGGCATTGTTGGAGCATGGGGTATGGCCTGGGGGACCCTACGTGGCCTCCAGTCTGTTCTTCTAGAGCTCTTCCCCTTTTGTTTACTGGGTGTCACAGCTTGAGTAGATCTCCGCTGCCACAGCCTTTTGCCGTGATGGTTCTGCTTTGGAGTCCACCAACCACGGACAGAATTCCCTGAAACCAAGAGTCAAAATAAGCCTCTCTTTTAAGTTGTGAGCATCAAGTATTTTGTCCCAGTGTAAAAAGCACTGAGCAATACAAGCCTCCTCCGATGTTTCCATTGTGACCTAAACTCTTTTCGATGACAATGGTTTTAGCTATAGACTTTCTTTTTATTTTTTATTTTTTTTTTGTATTTTAAGGAAGGGTCTACAGGTTGTTCAAGGTCTCACTACTAGATCTGACCTCTTAGTGATACACCTGTTTATAGCCTCCCAACGGCTGGGATTACAGGCCTGTGCTACCACGCCCAGTCTCAATTGCTGTCTCAGCACATGGGGGCTGGGCTGGCACAGCAGGCCTGGGGATTGAACCCCCAGCCCCTGTGCCTGTTTGCACGTGCTTTAATCCACTGAGATATTTGACCAGCCCTAGACTTCTTCCTTGATGAAGCTCTGAAAGAGTGTACTCAGTAGTGTGTTTCTCTAGTGGAGGGTGTCGTTAGAGCAGCAGTTTGCTGTTTAAGCCCAATTCTCTGGTGGGTTCAGAAGAGCTGTTGCTGTCACCATGCACTAAAGTAAAGTCAAAATGGATTAAGGATCTAAACATTAAAAAAGAAACACTAAATCTCCCAGAAGAGAAAGTAGGTGGAAATCTTGATGACATAGAGATTGGCAGACAGTTCATGAAAAATTTCCTGGGAAACACTTGAAAGAATTGCCCAACAACTGGGATCTCCTCTTACTGAGAAGTTTCTGCATGGTAAAGGAAATCACCAACAGGGTGGTATTTTCCACAAATATGAAAAAAATCTTAACTAATAACCACACAGACAAAGGTCCTCTCTCTAGAGTGTGTAAAGAACTAAAAAATATTAGGGCTCCAAAATTTAAAGACTCAATTCAAAAATGGGCATCTGAGATGAACACACACTTCTCAGAGAAAGAAATACAAGAGCAAATAAATACATGAAAAAATTGCTCCACATCACTAGCCATTTGTGAAATGCAAATTAAAACAATGCTGAGATACCATTTCATTCAAGAAAAAATGGCTATCATAAATAAATCAACCAACAACAAATGCTGGAGAGGCTGCAGGAAAAGAAACCCTTCTCTACTGCTGGTGGGAATGTAGACTGGTGCAATCATTCTGGAAATCAGTGTGGAGACTCCTCAGAAAACTAGGACTGGAATTCCCATTTAATCCAGCTTATCCCCCTTCTGAATATTTTCCCAAAAGAACTGAAAACTGTGTAGCACAGTGATATATGTGCACCCATGTTTATAGCAGCACAATTTGTTATAGTCAAATCTTGGAAGCAACTAAAATGCCCATCACTTGAGAAGTGGATGAAAAAGATGTGGTATTTTATACAATGGAGTATTACTCAGCTGTGAAGTAAGACAAACATGCAAGTATATACACAAGATAACTGAGGTGATTGTACTAAACTTTTCCATCAATTTTTTGAAAATAGCAGTTAATATGTAGAATTCTCATCTCGACTAACTCCGTATGCTGATATCTGATATCTACATCAAGGACAGCAATGTGTACTACAAAAATCATGCTTGAATACTTGTCATCTTGGTCTTCTAGATGTGTACTCTTTCTAATGTCATATCGATTATTACTATAATGTCTTCAAAATAAATTTTAGGACAGTTATAATAATTAATACATTGCATATTGTTGCCTTAAAAAATACAGAACTCTTCACAAATTTGCAAGCCATGCTTGCACAGGGGCCATGCTAATCTTCTCTGTATCATTCCAATTTTAGTATATGGGATGCCAAAGCAAGCAACAAAATAATTTAAGAAGGAAAACAAGAGAGACAAGAACAAAGGCTTAAGCTTTCTGGAAAACAAGTGGTAATATTCAATCATATGTCTAATCTTTCAAAACTATACCTGTTAATCTGAGCAACAGATTTGATGATAAAAATAGATAATATATCAACCATTGTTAGTCAGCTATTCTTGTTCTGAAAATCTGTAAGATATGCATTGTTGTATATTGCCCTGTTTCTGTCATTGTAACTGATTTTTATTCTTGCTTTTGTCTTTAACTTTTCAAAATGAAATAAAAAATAGTTGTTGATTTAAATTTGTTGGGCTTTTGTTTTTTATGAGGATGAGAGATAATTTTCAAGCTCTTCATGTGTCAGAGCAGAAGCTAAAGTTTCTCATGTCTAAGCTTACTGGTTTTTAAAACAGAATGAATGCATACTTATTAGTTGAACAATTTTTAAAATGTAATTAAATGAGTCCATCACATTCCTCTTTAAAAGCAGAATGTTTTGTTCTGTTCTGTCGTACTGGGAGTTGAAACCATACTATGCAAGTATGTCCCAAGTCCAGTTTCTTTATGAATTTGACTTGTGAAAATAGAGCTCACCTACAAACCAGTTTTTTTTCGTATACTGAGAGTCACATCAGGTATTTTGGCTAAGGAAATTTGTGACAGTTAACATTTGGAGAGAATCAGGTTCAAATACCAGTTTGGCCACATCTCTTAACATATTCCTGTGAATTAGAACCTCAATTTTAAAGTCTGTGGAATAGAGAAAAAGGATAATGGGTTGAAGAAAACTTACAAATAATCGTATCTTTCCTCCATTGTAACTTTTAAACAATAGAGAGAAAACGTGAGTGTTAGAATGACAAAGTAAGATAGCTATGGTATTGCAGTTGAATATTGTCATTCGCACAAGACTCCTGGAGGAGGGTAATAGCTATGTCTTAGCAAGCTTCAGAATTGGGCAAATAGAATGGAATTGTTTTTCTGAAACTGTTTCTCACTAGCAAATCCAGGAAAGAGAAAAGCTTTCCCTCAATTTCTATGGAAATATAAAGTGCAAAATAATAAGCATCTCATTCTCAAAACCTACATTTTACCATTACCATGAATAGTAAAGGACAAAACAATGTGGGGCTGATGATGTTGCTGCCGGTGCTTTCTGACCAGCTCCTTACTCGGGTGCACATATTGCACTAAGTGCTGTGTATGCTGTTATCTAAACAACCCTATTAAAATTGCATTCTCATTACTTCAATTTTTAGAGAATTAAAGCCTAGAGGGATAAATAATTTACCTAGGTCACTCGGCCATCGTCAATTTAGCTTAAGTATCAGTTTATAGGTATTATCTAGGCAAAAAAAAAAAAAGAATCTTCAAAGCCCTAAGCAGGAATTTAACATCTCTCAAGGAAAACAAGAGCTTGCACAGATAGACGAAGGCACACACAGATGTTGGTAGGTGGTAAGTTTGTATGCAATCTCCTTTCCAAGGGATTAGAAAACTCTACTGCTTCATTGAACCTAATTGGCAGAGGGCTCAGGTTTTTATAATATTAGTAAATATGAAACTTATTGATAAATGTCTTTCAGTCCTTAGTAATTAAAATAAAGTTTTGGGAAGGGAAGAGAAAGATGAAATTAATCAAGTCAAGAGTTTGATAGATAACCTGAGAAAATAGATAGATAACCTATAGATAGATAATCTACAAAAATACCTAAGTGCACACTGATGGCTAAATGGAAAAAGAAAATTTGGCTTTTAAAAAGTAGGAAATTCTGTTATTTGTGAGATCTCAGATAAACGTACAGGACATTATGTTAAGTAAAATAAGCCTAAACCAGAAACTATATAGCAAGTGATTTCACTTACAAGTGTAAGCTTAAAAAGTCAACCTCTTGTGGAGTAGAAGAGTGGATGTTAGGGGTTGAAGAATTTATGGAGGGAAATGAGATTTGTATTAAATGGTATGAACTTTTTAATTAAAGGATAAATTAGTTTGGGATTAAATGTATGGCACTGTAATTAACAATAACATATTTTATACTTAAAATTTGCTGTGAGTAGCTCTTAAGCATTCTTAGCTCCAAAGGGAAAAATGAAAGTTAAAAAGACAATTATGTGATGTGGATGAGTATTTTTAGTAGCTTGATTTTCTTCATCATTTTACAAAGTCTAACTACATGGAAAAATTACATGGTATAACCTGGATATGGATAAATTTTACTTGTCATGTATACCCCAATAAACCTGGAGAAGGAAGGGTGTGTGTGTGTGTGTGTGTGTGTGTGTGTGTGCAAGTGCATGTTTATTTTCCTAAAGGTGTCCACCCAGAATAATCGTAATGGGAAGATAGAGATGGAGAAGAAATTAGCATTTATTAGGAGATGCCCCACATTTGGGACTGCGTATCTGTTGTTCTCTGCACTGAGAAGTGCTAGTAAGTAGGTGCTGCCTGTCACCCAGCAATCCTAGAGTATCACCTGAGCGCACTCCATGCGATGACCCCTATGCCAGAAAAGGAACCAACCAAAACCAAAACCAAAAAACCAAGATCTGCTCTCACAGGCTGGCCGAAGAACCTACATCATCGAAACACATGCTATAAGCTATACAAATTATTATGAGGAAGGCAGGGCGTGTTTTGGCAGGGTCTAGAAGAGCTGTGCATTGAGGGACTAGCAGGAAGTGTGATGGGCAAGTGATGGTATCAGTGCAGAATGACAATTCTGTGTCTTTCCGCCAAGTGAGAATGCACTGAGTAACAGTGAGTTCACAAGCTGCACCAATTTCATCAGTTTGGCCTTGCTGAATACTCTAGATTTTACCATAGCCATGATCTAGGCAGTTACAGGGTTTTTTTTATTCCATTCTTAATTGCTATTATCTCTAACATTCATTTCTTATGTCTCATGGTAATATACAGATAATAGAATGGCTAAGAATGGTGAACAGTGGCCATATGTTCCAAGAAAGCAGAACAAGAAGTCAGTAGACATGTTTAGATGTCACCACAAGTGGCCAGAGAAAGGTCACAGGCCAGGTTGAACCTGTTGAAGGCACAGCCTTGTTAAGCAGAGAGTTGGTTCAAAGCCAAGTGTGGATGTAGGCAGTTCGAGCGGGCCTCAGCAAACAGGGAGACCGAGCTGAGAGGAATTCTGGGTGACAGATTCATCATTTGTCAACTCTTCGGGACTCTGATCAGGTGCTCTGCTAAGATGACAGGTCAGTATGTGTGGCAGGGTAGCCCAACACTGAGTGTTCATATGAACTCAAGTGAGATAGTTGCATCATTTTCTGATCTGGTGTGTCCAATAGACTCACAGGTGTGTTTATTTCTGATATTTAATACATACAACATGTGACTGTGTAACCCTAACTTAATTTGGTAAGTTTACAAGTGATATTTTTCTTGGCACAATGAATTTATTAGTCATTCTATGTCTTATGATTGTGCTGTGCAGCTGGAGTTGTTCTTTTTAATAGGTTTTGTGTTTCAACATCTGGAAATTCTCTGTGCAGATGAGTTACAAGTCATTCCACTCTGTCATTTGGACTCCGAATGGAGCAAACTTTTGCTTTATAAAATGCAGTCACTTGGAGGACGACACCGTATGAACACTTCTGTTTTAGGCAACATGGAGTAAGTCACAACTTGGCTCATCCTGCTGCACACTGAAGTAGAAAGTGAAGTCTCTCAGTCGAGGTTAAAGGAGAAGAGAATCATGCCAGGTGGAGTCAGCACCTGATGAAGAAGTAGCCACATGTAGAAAGCCCCAAATTACAGCTGCCCATTATTATTGGCACTGTCATTATCTCATTTGGCAAGGACTTTCAAATGAATAAAATTTTCAAGTTCTGGTTTGTCCACTCCAGGCTGTGGCCTGGGGTAAGTCATCAGGTCTCCTAGAGTCTCTGTCTTGGTCTCCGCCTTACAAGAACTGCGTAATTGTAAAGACAAGAGGAAGATAAGTGGATAGATGCGCACAATGAAGTGCAGTGTCCAGTACTTTAAAATGCTACAATATATTTTGCTTTCTAGCTTTTCCAAAGGGTTCGACATTCATCATTTTCTGGAATCCAGCACCTTCTTGGCCAATATATGACTTCCACTGACTAATAATTACCAAGAGCCATGAGAAGCTGAGTAAGTACTCTACATAATTATGTGGGTACAGCCAACTGGCAAGGCACAAGGAGGACTTCTTCTCAAGCCATTTGGAGGAGCATTGTTCATTCCAGGAAGACACCCCTCTAAAACAAATTTGTAAGTTGATAAAGGGCTGTTATAAATTAGCAAATAACCATGAACTGTAATTCCAGGCTTTTTATTTAATGTCTGCACAATACTTAAAATTTAACTGACTTTGGACTTCAATAGCCATACATCATATCTGAATGAAAAACAAATTGAAAGGCATTTAGTTTAACACTTCCAAAACTGGCTGGATTTAGACAGAATCTGTCTGACCCAAGCTTGAATCTCGACTTCTCTTCAAGCTTCCCTTAGGTTGAAAGTAAATTGTAGTACGTTTGACACAAAATCAGTACCTGTCATGCACTCTTAGGCAAATGATAATTTTCTACTGAAAACTATTTCCTTAGTGATGGTAAATCTTCCACCACTGTTGACAGATTCAATTTTTGCAAAGCACCAAAAACTCCAGAATATGCAAAGAAGTATAATTCAGCTTAGTGGATATTATTGAGCAGTTACTACCTGTCATTTGCTTGTTTGCTCTTAAATCTTCCCTCCTCCTTCCCCATTCTCCCCATTCTCTCTGCGTTAGACTTTATGAGTCAAGTTTAGCCAGCAGGAAGTTGGTTGAGAGAACAGAGAGTAAGCAGTACAGATAACCATTGTGGGTGTCTCCCATAGATGCCACCATGTTCCTTTAAGTTTTGGCTTGCTGAATGCAATGTGTTAATGGCCTACACCTATCATTTTTTTCAATGGGATTTCTTGTTAGTGACTGGTACCATCTTGCCCAGAGATAGCTCATGG